AGAACAAGCGGCATACTTTGAAAACTATGTATGTGGCGAATCTGCTTCGGTATCCACTATCTTTAACTAAGAATGCCGAGGCACAATCTAAACATGTTATTTCAGTAGCCGAAGTGTTTAGTTAATAGAAACCAGACTTGCAGAGGCTCAGACGATGTCCCTTGATGTTGTATATGTTTTTTCCCTACCCCCAGGCTCTAGTGTCTTTTTTTTTTTTGGTTTTCATTGGGTTTTCCCTAATTAAGCAGGAAATGTTAGATGTTTGGGTCTGATTCCCTTATAAAATGGACTATCCCACTTCTTCTTAATGAAATGCAGGACTCCACCTACCATCGCGATGAGGTTCTGGAAAGAGGAGAAATCCTAGAACACCTGATGAATAGAAGTTGGCACCTGAGGGCTGAGGCATGCATGTCAAAAGTGTCATAGGCCAAGTTATTCAGCTTCGTAAGAACCTTTTTCCGCACCACCAAACTTGTCAATAAAACCATCTCCCCTTGCATTGCCTATGATTGAATCACCAGATTTATATACACAAAAGCATTATCTACCTTGCGCACAATAGCTAAAAATATGGGTCACGCAATGGCCCGAGACCATAAATAGTGAAAACAAAAGGAAAACAAAACCAGAAGTCTTAAAAAAAAGAATAGAAGCAAGATCTCATTGTATCATTTAACCTCTCCAACCACGTTTTAATGACATGAGGATCTTCCATACTATTTCAAAGCTTGATCATTTCTTGAATTAACATTCATACTCTGGCTCCATGGCATCCTTAATTATGTGCCAGAGGAAGGATGCATAATGGATGAGTAGGGGTTTGTTTGTAGACATACGTGCAACAGAGATGGTATGATTTCGGCTTGTGTTCTTGCGATATTGATGGACGGGAAAGGGGATAGAACTACATACCACCATCCAGGCAATGACTACAACAGACTGCTTTAATAAAAAATGATATAGACCAAACTAACCTTCCTTTATTTCCTTGTGGCGTTCGCTAACTCATATCATGTAGAATCCTCTACTAAGATATTTAAGCATTTAAATGGATGTGAAAAACAATATAATATATCTAACATGAACAATGTTATTGGTCTTCTATTTTCCATTTGCTCATATATATCTATATATTATACTATATTATAACTGTATCAGAAAGAATTACATAGGAACATTTAGTAACATCGTTGGATGACTAATATAAGTTTTGTTGTATGTTAAATATGCACATATAAGAAACATGTTTAATGATTACGTGTTGTAAAAATGTAAAAAAGTTTAGTATAAATACTCCCAGGTCCAACAAATCATTAAATAAATGATACAATTTAGAATGAGCTAAACAACAAGCAATTTCTTCTATTGCAAAACAAAAAGACATTACTCTTGGAAAAAAACATACGCTTTGCTGCCCCAAGT